GTGTTTACGTCTCGGGCGTGCCGAGGAGGGGAGGGAGAAATGCGGGTTTTGTGAGGGGAAAAATAACCTTTTTTAAAAAAATTCTTTATTTTTTTACATGGGGAACAGATAGGCTGCGCTGCACACCTCAGAGCCCCAGGCAAGTTCGGGTATTTTTGGTTTGCAGGTATCCAAAGCCCTGCAGCATCCAAAAGTACCGCTGCAGGCGTCATCACGTCCCGGCACCTGCTCGTTCGCGGACAGGGCCGTGGTGGAGTTCGCTCGACGCTCTCCATTTCGAGCCGCTGCCTCCAGCGCTTATGGCCTTGCCAGGCATCAATCACGCGAGTGAATTTTTACATTCCAGGTGGTTCCCTCAGGCTGGCTTTTATTTCAGCCAACGCATGTCATCCCTTTACCATAATGAGGTTAGAGGAAAAAACATTGCTTTGCCCTTGTTAAAAAAATCAAAACAGAAACACAACTGGCATCCTTCTTGTCTGATAACCTTCACTGTTGCCTTGCGTTGGAGGAAGGAATTGGGATGCACTAGGAAGTGCTCTTGAGGACAAGGAGATGCCTTTTGCCATCCCAGAGGAAAACCCAGCCGGACCTGAGCTTCTCCAGCCCTTGGACGACTGCGATATGCAGTTAAACGAGATTCACTAGCTGAGCCTCTGGACTATGCAAGAATTTGACTCGCACTATGTAGACTGCAAGCTGGGAAGGCGGGGGGGGGGGCAGGGGTGAGGCCAAAAAAAAAAATTTCCTCTTGCGGTTGGAACTGTTAGCTGCTGTGGGCTAAGCCATGAGACCAGCAGGACTGGGAGCCAGAATATCATCTCCCTGTACTCTCCGCAGGAATCATAGGGTGCAGCTGCATTAACATTTTATTTCAGATTAGGAACTCACTTTTATAAGGGAGTTTCCAATTTCTCCTTTCCGTAGTTTGGCTCACACTGTAGAATGCAAGGACTCAAGAATCACAGTGCGGGTCGGACAAAGGGTCCATCTGTGCTGGACGGCAGCACTGGTAGCTGCTATTTAGGGAGAACATACAAGCCAGGCCCCTTTTCTGCACGGGCACTGCCTTTGCCAGGCACTCCCCTGGCCCTGCTCGCCTCCTTGGCACTCCCAACTCAGTCAGGCTCCACCGCTGGCTTTCCCTGCTGAGAAGCAGTAAGCGATCCCCACGCAACAACCCTGGCGTGCAGAAACTTGACTCCTTTTGGATGCAGGTAAGCCATGGGATGCATCCCATGCATTTGCTGCATGGAGCAGCATTTGCTCTGCTCCAACTGCTATCAGATGTGCAGCCCACTAATGGGACCAAGACCGGAGCTAGCCCTGAGGAAAACCTCTGAAACATCTCCCACTCTTCAGGTGTGCTCCCATTGCATTGTGCCGCCTGCTCAAGCAGGCACAGCCAGAAATGCTCTGTACATTTGATTAAGCAGGGAGTCTCGGAGAGGAGAGCTAGAAACACCTGGATAAACTCCGGCAGCATACTACGTAATCCTTGTAAGCCATGGGTCATTCTCACCCAAGCAAGCATCAGCGTGAAGTCAGATAGCAACTTTTAAAATAATTTGAAAATTACACACAAGAGCCGTGCAAAAAAGTGTGAAACTTACAACATTAACCACTCATTGTTACGAAACTTTCAATTAGAACTGTTGGGAAAAAAACCCTTAATTATTGTTTTAATATGAAGTATGAGTTTTTAATTACATTTCCCACGCTACTTTCCCAGGGATATCTGGCACAGGACCAACAGCACTCTCCTAATGAGAACATTTGGCTTCTTCCCTGCTCCTGCACCAACCTGCCCCATGCACCACACCTTGTTCTGACCTTTCAGGTAAAAACCTCTGCATTTCCTCATTTTTCTTGCGGGGTTTATCACTACGCAAGCCCTTCCCGAGCACTGGCGTATTTCCACGGCCTCCTTCAGGAGCTTTTAGCTTGGCACAGAGCGGGCGCTGCCCCTGTGGTTTACCAGGAGCATCAGCTTCCTGGGAGGGGGATGTTTTTAGGGATGCGGGGGTGCTCAGCGGATTCCACGTCCAGACCGCTGTACCTACTCCCTGTGAAAGCCTTCTGTGGGGAGTTTAACGGTTGCATACCCCACTCGGCCTGTAAGAGGCGGGAAGACCCCGACATGAGATGCCCGCTCGGCGGGTGGAATGGCAGTTATGGCAACCCGAGCGCTTTCCCGC